CTTTATAGTCCCACAAGGGGAACTGTGTTTTGCAGCAGGAGCATCCAGAAGACAACACATACAAGGACAACATCACCGTCAAATCAGAACCCAACACGTTATGAAACAATATAAAACATCACAGTAAGAGTCAGTCAAGAGCTCGTACTGTACCAAAATGGACATTTTTTACTAAGTTATCTCTTTTGCTGCTTCTCAGATGGGGCTGTCTCTGCTGTAAATGTTCAGTGATAAAATGGTGAGGCAAACTGTGGATTATCTTAGAATTTATTCAGCAGAGGTCAGACAACATTTCAGAACACACCGACAAACTTTTCATTTTTAACAGTCTTCCTTATATTCTGTTAGCAGGTAAAGCCTACAAATTCCTTTACATTTGGAAACACTTCTAATAGGCTCGAAAGAACACATAAGCTTGACTTGTAAATGTTTCTTCACCCTCATCAAATCCTTTTCAGCTCACAGCAGACACTCGGCTCCTATCTGAACTTAGCTCTGCTGCTATGAGATGTCTTACACATCTGTGTTTCGGCTACACGGACCAAAAGGAAGAATTACCCTCAGATGGTAGACTGATTTAAATGGTGTATCCACAAAATCACAAAGATGAATGAAATCATGAAAATACATACCAACACTGCCTCAATCTGTGTTTTTTAGGAGTCTGGAACAGCCTCAACTTCACAAAAAAAGCTCAACTTTTGGAGCAGTGTCGAGTCATCTGCACTACATGAGAGATTTAATAAAGAGCAAATAGAGTCCATACAGTGAATTAAGTTTGGTCTACTTTCTATGTTGTTTTTGGAGAGTTTATACAGGACAAGTCGACTTTTAGGTCAGCGGTTTCTTTCTGTCGTCATCTTCTTTACTTTGCTCAGTGAAAACAGGCATTTCTGGGTCTTCCATCTAATCAACTACAAACACTGATCTATCTTAACCACCAGCCTGTCACTACCCAGCTAATTAATCACCACGGTAACAACAACAGCCTCATCCCTCTTTTTTATAAATCATGCTCCCTGCACAGACACAAAGAAGCTCCGGTTGAACTAATTTGTCCTGCCGTCGTAGGAAGCGTTCTTTTGATTCAGAGTACTGATGAAGGCTTTTAAACATGTGCAGTCACATCAGTGATATTACAGCCTGCACGCTCCTCCTGCTAATATGTTTCATCAGCCTGGTGGTTGCAGTGTATTAAACTGCATATGTAATAGAACTCAACAGGACCAGAAGGCAGTGTAGATAACAGAAGCACTAACCAAACATTTCCTGTTGAGCATCCGTCACCGTCAGCTCCGAGTTGTATCAGAATTCCTGCACCTTGAAAAACAGACGTGCAGACTTCACCACGAAAGAACTACTTCTAGAAATCCACCAGGGCGCAGCTTTTCTAACAAACATTTGGTGCAGAAAAGTTCCTTCAATATCTCTTGTGAATCTAACCATGCAGTGGACAGATGCAGGAGAATCTGTTTGATGGCCCGTATATAAGCAGTTGGATTTGTTCAATCCCTGGAAATATTTTTGTCATGTCATCCTCGAGAAACCAAAGATTCGATGAAGGTCATGAATAACAGCGGTCCCCTCTCACAGCTCATGTGTCACTGACCGTCTGGTTCGGTGTCTCAGAGGGTTTTTTCCTGCTCGGTGAACGGTCGCTGATGCCGCAGCAGTCGGGCGTGAAATAGTGGAAACACAAAAACATTTGGCCTGAGTGTGCTCCAGCCCAGAGGAGATTCAGCTGCAGGTCAACCCACCATTTACAAAGATATTCACTGTAAATAAACATGTCGGAACTAAATGTTCCACATAAAGCAGAATGACAAACCGAGTATTCGTCTCTGATCATGGATGCCCCCGTCAGCCACAGTGGGGATCAAGTAAGCTCCACTGAAGAAGATATCAGACGACTTGGCTCCATTTGAGGAGAACGAATGAGCTCTCTGGATCAGATAGATTTTCATTCTGTCAATTTATGACGGGTACATTTGACGAAAATGTTAATCAAGGGTAATTAATTTTTACTCTTAAAGTTAAAACAGTTTTTTTTTTTATTATCTAGATTTCCCTCCTCTGGGAAAAAAACACCCCTCCATTCTCTTAAAGCTATACTCATAATGAGAAGCTTGAAAGTCACACAATCAATTATTTCTTATTATCGATCTCTGAAATTAAAAGTGGTTGCTTAAAGTGACAAAACCAGAGAATCATCACATTCCTTGTATGTTTCACAGAGCTTTGTTGAAGGTTTTGGCATCTTTCAGCTCATTGTTTTGGCTTTTGAGCTTTTGGTTTGGGCTCTTTGTTTAGTGTTTGAGCTCACTCGTTTGGATTTTGAGCATATTTTGGTTATTGAGGTCATGGTTTTTGGTGTTTGTGCTTCTTCTTTTGGTTTGTGACCTTATTGAAGTGATTTTTGAGGCAAGTCTTTTGGGGTTTAGAGCGCACTCTTTTGGATTTGAGCTCATTTTTTTTGGTTTCGACTTCTTTGAATTGATTTCGACCTCATTTGTTTGAGGTTAGTGCTCAATCTTTTGATTTTCAAACTCATTTTTGGTGTTTGAGTTTATTCTTTTGGGTTTAGAGCACATTTTATTGGCCATAAAGTCAATGTTTTGGGTTTAGAGCTCATTGGTTTTTGAGCTCATTTAATTGGTTTATGAAGTCATTGTTTTGGCCTTTGAGCTCTTTGTTTGATTCTGAACTCAGTTTGTTTTCTGAGCTCATTGTTTTGGTTTTTAAACATACAACTTTTCTTTTTCACTTTTTTATTTCACACTTCCTTCTATGCAACAAAAAACAAACTCACACAATCGTACTTCTCTTTGGAAATGAATGTTCATATTCCTCTGTGCTTAATGGATAAATTGGCAGAGCATAATGCCAAGATGTTGAGTGTTATTTTTAGCTTAAAGGACTTCAGTTTTTGCACGTTTGAGGCCAAAAAAACAGATCAATGTAGCTTTTAAAGGTTCATAATAATTTTTCAAGTATGCAAGCTGCACTGGCCAATCTGTGTCCTATGAATGTGTTCTTAGCACATCATTGGCAAAAACTTTATAAGGTGATAAAATGCAGATGTCATGTTTTCTGCTTCCCAAAAGTGGCCAAGAAACTGTCAACACTGCTTTAAGTCGTTAAATAATGCAAATTATTTTACATTAAGCTAAGAACACATTATCTGAGTGAACATGTTCCCTCATTTTGTTATGAAATATTCAGTTCCAGAACAACACAGACACAACTAGAGCTGCAAAAAAAAAAAAAGAGTGTGATGCTTGTGCTGCAGAAAGTGTTTGACAAACAGAGGGAACACGATGAACCGGCTATCAGATGGGAACAGAAGGACCAGCACAGCAGCAGACAGTGTATCCGATACAAATCAGTATGTATCACTATCTCTGAGCCGGGCTCCTCTGGCCGCTCATGTACGTCTGCGGACAGCCCTGTGAGAGGCTGCAGTTTATCGGGCAGACAAGCTGCTCTGGTATACTCGGCCTTAAAGAAAGTGTGTTTTCATACTGTGGCATAAATGTCACAAGGACACCCCTCTGCTTCGTGGACTGTGGTAGTGTGGGAGGGGAAAGGCAGTTAAGCTCTCTGTCACATAAGTCATTGGTGCAGAAAAGCTTTTTTTTGATCAAAATCAAAATGACCATGATCATCGTTGACCATGTTCAGAGGCATAAAATGACACTTTAAAATGAACTAGGTGAGGGCGACGATCGCCTAGCGGTTATGACCTGACCCCATGTACAGAGGCTCTAGTCCTTGTCGCAGCGACTTGGGGTTCAAATCCAACCTTTTCTGAAAGTAATCTCTCACTCTTTCCTAAAAATATTTCCTGTTTCTCTTCAGCTGTCTTTTCCAATAAAGACTAAAATGTCCCCAAAAATATCTTAAAACTGAACTAGGTGACTGTTTCAAGTTCCTCTTTTCCAGAAACTCAGTTAAAGTATAAGATTTAAAGCTCCTGTGTGAAGTTTTTATCGGCTCTTCAAACATTAATAAATGAAAGTGAGGCCTCTGTAAGACTTATGAAAAGCAAAGTCCATTTTATAACCAGCGCAAAACTCTGTATTTTGAAAAAGGCTTAAACTTTCCAGGAAAAACCCTAATCTAAGTGCTCAATACAAACTGTAGTTTCTTGTAATATTAAGTTTTGATGTTTACTTGAAGATGACAGAAAGTAGTCGGTAACTGATGTCTTCTATCATCTGTTTTTTAATGCATAATTTCTAACTTCCAAGAGTGCCCAAGTTTTTAAAAAAAACAGGCTGCTAAATGGAGACTTTAAAAGGCTTTTTCCTTTCAGTGAGTCATTTCCCATCCCAAACTGTCACTTATGATTGGTTGTTTTTCGCATGAAGTATTTTTCAGCCCGCTAATGCCCATTGTGCTCAGCGATCTTTAGCATGTGTTACATTAAGGAAAATGTCACCAGCTTTTTAAATGAATCGGATTTTACAGAAGCTGTGATTTCTCAGTGGGCCAGTTGGGAAATAACAAAAATCTATTATAAGGTTTTTAAGAGTTCTCATAACTCACAGAACACAAAAAAACAACCTCTGGAGGAAATGTGCAGCTCTGTTTTTGAATTTGACATAAAAATCCTTAATGGTTTTACTGATGAGAAGAGGAAGGGACTGGGGAGGGAAGAGACTAAGGACAATTACTTTTTTATTGATCTAAAGCCTATAAAAAAAGGAAATCCTATGAATCACACACCTTTTCATCTGTGTAGCATATGAATTGAATTCATTGATATTATAAATGAAACCATATTATACATGCACACTAGAAAGTGTAAGAATTAACAACTGCTTTTCTTTTTTATACTGTTAATGTTATTTAACGTTACATATTTTACATTGATGAAACTGCACACATAACCTGGCTTGGGTCACATCGGGTAGTTTCCTTTTAAGTTTTTTGCTCTTGTATTGAAGTAAGGGGTCCAGTAATTTATTATTTGGTTATTTTTTTCAATCGTCATACAGACTGGAAGGATCAGAAGAGAAGTTCAGAAACAGGGAGAGTCGTCATGAGGATCTGCAGGTCATCGCGGAACTGAAGGACATGGTGTCCGAGAGAGAATCTCTAGTCAAGAAACTGGTGGTAAGTAGTAAGTCCTGTGGGGGCCATTTACTATATGTACACAGCTTAGTGAAAACGTTCCTTGAAATACTTGATATTAACAGATGTAAACAGTTTATCATCCATACCATCCAGGAAATTATGGAATAAAGAGGCTAATGAGAATAAGAAAGTACCCGGGATACAGCCCTGAGGCATTCCATATTTGATTAACATGCTTGTAAATCGTCTGTTTTTTAGACCAGTTAAAACCACTCAAGGCCAAAGCTGTTGATAACCAAACAATTTAAAAAAAAGTTAATTTAACAAACCTTGTATCCAACTTTAAAGTCAACTCAAAAACTAGATTTATTTGTGATCATCTGACAGCTGACTTCATTGCTCCTGACTCTCTGAAGAGAAGGCCGACCCTGTTGTTAACTGACACATCTGTATCATGTGTAACCAGTCTTCCAATGAAATCCACCATATTAACACTGTTAGTTTCATCGGCTTCGTCTGGGACACTGTTGACAGTGACTCCAAGGTTTCTGCTGTTCTGCTGCACTAATCACATGAAGGTGACTTCATAAATCAACTTACAATTTGTCACAGTGTAGTGCTGTTGCCATTTAGTTAGAGTCATTGGCTTGTATCTGTGATCCATAGACTGCAGTAGTTGTGAGGTAACGACTTGTAAATGAAGTGCTTAAAGGCTAATTTCCCAGTATGTGATAAAGAATAGAAATCAGAGGTGCAGGCCTGTTAAATACTTAACAATGTTTTGGGGGAGATTTCATGGAGGTATTAAAATGCAGCTTGGAGAGAGTGTGCAGAAGAAAGCCCATAAAATGTGTGATTTTGAGTGCTTTTACAGTCCCTTGAATCTCCTCCAGTGTTTCCTGCCGTCAGCTAACTCTGTTCTCTCCTTCAGGACGATAAGAAGTTCTACCAGCTGGAACTTGTCAACAGGGAGACCAACTTCAACAAAGTGTTCAACGCCAGTCCTAACGTAGGAGTTATCAACCCGCTCATTAAGGTAGGACTTAATATCCTGTAACACACCACACACAGGGGCACGCTGATAAACCTGTCGCTTTATTCAATACATAGCAAAGATGATATCCACTCCATCTCATCTCATATCCATCAGTGCTGATCAGGCAGAAGAACAATCAGTACTGACGTTTTTTGCAAAGGTACTACTGCATTTTAACAAGCTTGACTACATTATTTTATTTTTAAAAATTGCTCTAAACAAATGAGACTATCTCTGCCTTTACCTGAGTGTTTCAATGTTGAACTAACGGCAAATCTGCTGCAATCTCTTGTTCAACAAAAAACACAAAAGAAAGTGGTTTTATAAGAACGGACCGGATTGTGGTGTTCCAGTGAAAACACGACCATCTGTCAGAGTTTACAGCGGAAGGTAAAAGGGAGGAATAGAAAAAAAAAATCAATTCAACAAGGTTTTTCGTTTTATTACAAAGCCAAGGACAGAATCAAAAGGACAGTAAACAACACATTAACAGGAAGTGTGCTGTCTTTTCCATTTTTTTAAATATCAGTCCTGTCTGTATAACATGAAGGTCAACAGTTCCACCCATCAGGGTCTCATTTGTTTACAGCAATTAGACCAAGGTGTCACAGTTCAAAGCCAAAATATAAGATTGTCATTACCTCTAACTTTATTTGTTGATGTTTAAAGACCTTCAACTTTTATTTCCTGAAAAGGACAATGCTTAAAAGTAAAAAAAAAGAAAAGTTTTTAAAAGCAGCAACATTGATCCCAGCGTCATCTATTGTATCTATTTTGAATTAAACATGTACTGTGTGCCATGCACTGAGCAATGTAGCTCTCAGATAATATTACATTTTATTTCCTTACGAAAGTCATACCATTGCTTTTTTGAGTCATTCAGAATAATCTGTTTCATTGCATTTATTTGCAAAATTTAAATGCTTTAAAGGCCCTGAAAACATTTGCTAAAGTTCAAGTGAAATGACCAAAACTATCCTAACTTTGGCAGAAAATGTTGTAGTCATGTAAGATATGATACAATATGAGACAATACGCTCTATTGTCCTCTTAAGATGGGCATTCACTGTATGATTTCAGGTCGATTTAGATCAGATTTTTGAGTTGTTGACAGATTTTGATAGCACGTCATCAGTTGTGCTGTGAACACTGAGGCACGACAGCAAATCACGGCCTGATCAGCTGCTCCGACGGGTCGTATTTTGGTCGTAGGACTGCACACGATCGCACAGTGAGAGCAGAACCAGGATACCCCAACCTTGGGATTGTGCTGCGCAAAGTAGAGCATAGACATTACGATCATGAAAGAAACGTTGGCAGGAAATATCTGCAGACCTCCAGCTGACAGGATACATTTGTTATGATTTAGCTGCTAGTTAGCTGGTGTTTATCGGTGATGCTGAGTGTGAGCTAGTGAGTGAGAGCATTTTTGCTGGTGTGTATCTTAGCAGGGCATATGAGACAACCAAAATACACATAGTTCTGTTGATAATAGTAATAATACTCCATCTGGATTTAACTGGTACAGTCTGAGCTCTCAATTTTATACAATCGTACAGTCTATGCCGGGCTTTATGGAAATTTGTATCGGGCTCCGGTGCTGCACGGACTCAGCTGCCTCCACATTCAGATCAATAAATCAATCCAGTACAAATTGTAAAAAAATATGTAAGAATATGTTTTCAGGGCCCCAGAGCGTCTAGTGCTCCTGTGAAATGTGACATTCTTTGACGGTATGTCTGCGTTGAATGATCCTCATTGCATGTTTGATATATAACTGTTGACACTTTGGGTCCTTAACTTCCAGTTATTTTTTTTGTTCTTGCTGATTCACACATATTTGTATATGTGTATCGTGTTCATCATGTGCTAGTTCATGTGTGTTTGTGCGTATAAATATGCGTGTGATTCTTCTTCCTGATTGGATTGTTCTTCCTGACTTTTTCTCCAGCTTTCCTTTGCTTTCCAAGCCATTTGTTAGTGTGAGATGTTTTTCTGCTTTGACGCATCTCTCCTCATCTGAACTTCCATTCTGCTCAGAGCGACTGGTGCTTTAAAGGCCGAGAGATGCCGGTCTTCAGATTGATCCATTCACTTACTTTTAAATATGATCAAGTTAGCACGCTGCTCTCTTTCTGTCTCTTACTGGATGGACCTGTAGGGCTCTCCCTGTCCTCCATTTTTCCCTCCATTTCTTCTTATCTTTTAATTATTATTTTGATTTAAACTTCCCTTTTACTCCTTTATGACCCCCGTCCACCTCCTTTTTCTTTTTTTGTCTGTGTAGCAAAAGAAAAAGAATGAGAAAACTGCAGCCAGCAGATTCAGCAGCTCTCCTAATGTCAGGGCTCTGGAGGCAGCAGGTAGGGGCATGGGCGTGGCAGGTTCAGGAAGTGGGCAGCTCCCACAGCCCCCACCTCCTCCTCCACCAGTCCAGCCCAGCCGCCTAGAACCCATCCCCAACTCCCCCATCCACCACCTTGAACTCAACTCCAACAAACCTCTTCCCCCGCCGACCCCTCCCACCGAACCCAAGAAATTCATGAGGTGAGACCCTTTCTGCCCCGACGGGCCGCAGCTGGTCAATCCACGCATCTGTCATCCAATCACAGACCTTAAGTTAAGCACAAAATCTTTCACTCAAAGGGATTCAAGTACTCTTTACTTATATAGCCAAATCAAACGTTAAATGTAAGAGCTGTGTTTTAGGCTGTGTTCTCCACAAACGCCTATCAATAACTAACGGCAAAACCTTTGTTGTTTCTGACTTTTAAGAAGGTACTTCTGAGACAATAACTGTGTTTAACGTTTTCATCCCCTTCATACAGAAACCAGAAGGAGCATAAAATCAGGAGCCGCAGGGATTCAAATAAACAAATTTAAGCGTTCTGATGTGTTGAAAAATTAAAGTTTGCTAACAGTTACTGCTGCTTTGCCTGTCCGGCTCTCTGTTCCTTCAAAATACACATAGTTGAGTTTACGAAACAAAAAACTCCTTCTGAAAAGTCAAGTCTGTTTTAAACAACAGCTTAGGCTAACTGATAAAGCTAACATTAGCTAGGTGAGTTGATTGTCTACTAGCTACCTTCATTAATGTTTTGCTAACTTGATTTAAACGTTGAGACAACAGAAACTACATTTTAGTTGCCTTGAGTGACACGTGTCGCTAGCAGAAATGATCAGCTTCAGCTAGCTAGCTGATTAAGCTAATATAAGCTTGATAATTTGTTTATTTAACAGCAAACTTTTTAATGGCTCCATCTAACTAGATTTTAAAATACAAGACAAAACAGCAACTCCAATTAAAGTGGCTTTAGTGACACCAGTCAAAGATAATCAGCTTCCGCTAGCTAGCTGGATAAGCTAACATTAGCTAGTTGAGCAGTTTGTCTGTGAGCTAACTTCTTAATTTGTCGATGTTATAGTTTTAAAAATGTAGACGACAGCAACTCTAATTTAGTTGGCTTGAATGCGACTGACGCTAGCGGACGTATTGTTCTTCAGCTAGCTAGATGACTAAGCTAACATTAGCTAGTTGAGTTGTTGATCTGCCTAACACAGAGGCCTTCAGTACGCACTCTGTGGTTACAAATATGATGTCATGCTAATGACTTAAGCTAAAGCTTTATGTTTGAGGCAAAGTTAACACCATCAGGAAATTATTAACCTTATAGAAGCTGTAGAAATAAACAGTTCTTGTACATTGTGGAGGTATACATGCTAAAATGACCCTGTTTAGTTTAGTATTTTACCTGCAGAAGTTTTTTTAACCGTGTGTTTGATTTCAAGAGAGCAGAGGCCGTCAGGACGAGGACTTAGCCTACAGGAAAGGGCGACTAGCGTTAGCCTAACTTCTGATAAGCTAGCAGCCAGGTGTCGGAGTTGATGTGATAGTCGTAAACATATCTGATAATAACATTATGAATATATAATCATATAAAATAATGCTCCTTGCTCTTGAAGGTAACACTAAGTAACTGCTGCGGATATAAGTAGTTTAGCTTGCTATGCTAACAGCTATACGCTAAGCAGATAAAAAACACTGTTCAATGCATTCTTTACAATTTTGCTCGTTTACTTTTGTTTTTGTAAAGAGCAGAAACAGAACCACCATCCAAACTCTTTATATAAGAAGTCTTTCTCTGTTTATCCAAAGCTTCAAAGAATGGCTTTGGAATGCAAAAGGAGCATGTGTGTTTGTGTGTTTTTATTTTGTATCCTTTCTGTTTGTCCGTCAGTGTGAACATGTTAACCGTGTGCATGGTGACCAGTTTCCCTTTTCTGTTCAGGTGGTTATTTTGTGGCTCTCTGTTGTGCATTTTGTGTTTCTTCATCTTCATCCTCTCATCTAAATCTCAGCATGTTGCACACGCTGCACTTTATACGGTATCTCGCTCTGACTGGAAGCGATCGACTGTTTTCTGTACAAACTAAATAAATTATTTTGCCATGTGGATTTCTAATGAAGTTGATATTGTCTTTTGCTATCATGGACCGTCCCCTCTGTGTGTGGTGGTGTTTTATTTTGAAAAAACAGATTTTCTTCTCAACTCTATGGTCCAATAAATGCTTCTCTTGTTTCTTAAAAAAAAATGGCTGTGAATGGTCGTTGTGGTGCTACGATACATTATGTAACATGCTTCTACCATGGATACATGCAGTTTGTTTATTGCATGCATAGAAACATAATCTAAGGTCGCTCGTGTTTACATTTACAGCATGTGTGAGAGGGCGTGCGTGTCAGCATGTCTTGGTTATTCTCGATCTTGCTGCATGTTTTTTGCTGCTGTTTCTGTAAAGAGTGAGATGTGGCGGCTGCTTTGCGAACGCTTGGAACACAAGTGTTAACATAGGACCCACCTTTTGCTGTTACAAAACACACACACACACACACACACACACACACACACACACACACACACACACACACACACACACACACACACACACACACACACACACACACACACACACACACACAACACACACACACACACTCACGGTATGTTAAAGGTGAGCAAGGTTTCCTGACAAAACTATGAACACAATAGGTTTCAGGAGTTCGAGGGAAGGAGCATCAGCAGCACAGATACACACACACACACACACACACACTCACACACACACACACACACACACACACACACACACACACACACGCACACACACTCACGACTGAGCCAGCCGTGACAGTATGAGGTCAGCTATTATGGATCTTCTTTGAAATGTTTTCAGACTCCATTAAAGGGCTCGTCCTCCTCTCCCCGCGCTCTCTTTGTTCTTGACAAACATTCGTATTTAGATTGATGCGTCCGCACAAACACTAACCCTCTCCACGTTATCGACAGTGATGTGCAATTTGTAAATCTGACCCTTTAAGTCATCGCCTTGTGTAAATATTCAGAACAGACAGAGACTTTTATTAGATGACAAATTGTATTTGAATGCTATAAAGAGAGCCAAAAAACAGTGAACATAGCGACCATTTTCCCTCCAAATGTCTCTCTAACTTGAACCTATTATGTCCATCGGGGGTGAGGAACCGTCCTCCATCTCCTTCCCGCCAGTATCAATTAATAATCGCTCAAACATCACTGAAAAGCCAACACACGTCCCATTACCAAATGAATAATAACAAGATGTTTTTTTAGCCTTTATTTGCCTTTTATTGGAATCGGACATCTGAAGAGAGACAGGAAGGGTTGGGGGGTAAATGCTAGTCTGTCCGGCGCCCCAGGAAGTTAACGTTAATACTCAAAATGAAAATATTCAATACATATCAGAGCAACTTTTTGGCTTCAAGATGTAAAACAAACCTGACTGAAGCAAAGCAGATGAGATCAGATCATCAGATCATCGTCACACATGATCGTAGAGGAAGATGCAGAATGACTTTAACTATTTCTAAAAGTGGATAAACGGCTGTGACTGCACTTCAGAGTTAGTTACACATGAGACTGTTGTTTTGCAAATAACAGTTTTTATCACAATGAATATTTAATGAACCTTAAACTGAAGACTCTTAAGTTGTGACCATGTGCAGAATAAACACAAACGGATCGCATTGATTTTTTACTTTTTAAAAAAAAGGCCTTTTGGGAAGTAATTGTCTTTTCGAAGGCAAAAGAAAAACACAAATAGAGAAATGTAAATCTCACCCTGGGGTTATGGGGCTGTTTATTTCAGAAGCAGCCAATTAAAGAAGCCGGAGCAGGTGTTTTTGTTCGGATAGATTCAAACACTCCCATCTAATTGGTTCATTGTTTTGGTAACAGTGTGTTTCCCCCGCTTCAGACACCAACCAATGATTTTGTATCTTCATCGGAACACAAACTGTGAACATGATTCATGAGGGATTGTAGAGCGTATATATTTTGTTTTCCACACACACTTTCTTTGTCATGAAACGGTCCCATCACGCCCTCAATTTGTCAAATTAAAAGTTGTACTGTGAGAAACTGCTAACGAGCTAAACCGCTGAATCACCCCTCAATGGACACCGAGATGTCATGTTCAACAGAGGGGAGAGAGATCGTAACCATGGAAACAAACGTTTGTCAAAATAGAAACTTAAAGCATCATCATTCATGGGTTTTAACCAAACACACACACATCACTTATTTAGGTGCTGAGTCGTTAACTCACTAGATATAATGCACAAAGACTCGCATCACTATGGCAACCAGAAGATATACTCCTATAATATTTGCTATATGCATTAAAGAACACAATGCTTCGAGCCCGACCGGGGTCTTCATCAGGTGCTGTGACTAACTGTGACTCTCTTAAGGTAGCCAAATGCCTCGTCATCTAATGAGTGACGCGCATAAATGGACAAGATTCCCAATGTCCCTACCTACTAACTCAGCTCTCACAGCACCTGATTTAATGTGTATACCAAACAAATAAGTGAATGTTTGAGGGCCAAAGTGTTGCAAGACTTTGTGCATTATATCTAGTGTTTTTTTTAAGCTTTAACCTGCATCATAAGGTCTCTTTCAGCAGACTGACTGACTGACAGCTCTACTCCTTACATTAAAGAAGACAGTGAGGCGCAGTTGAAGACCCACAAAAACAGGCTTCAAGTGGACCAAAGTTGAATTGTGTTTTGTTAAAATATTTGACTAAATTCAGCGTAACTAAAAGAAAAGTCTGCGTTCAAACTAAAACGTGTTGGATTGTTGTCAGACTCGTATCTTCAAACCGTTAAAAATGACTATTAATAAATGAATCTGTTTATAATCTATATTTCTCTTACTGTTGACGAATCCCAAAACGGTGTGTTAAACTATCTCTTGATCTTTCCTGAATCCACCTCTCTGCCTGTGGCTCAACTAAGAGATAAAGCAACAATGTGTAACATTTCCACCTTAAAATAGTCAATACAACAACTTTCAGCAGGCAGGATATATCTACCATGTCCACAGAGCACTACACAGGTTTTGCAGAGCCGCGGTTGTCTCAGGACAAGAAGTACTTTACAGCATTAGCTCGTCTCTGTACTGTTTGATACAATGTCTGAGGCTGAGAGAGACTAGAGAGAGTGACCGAGCGAGATGCAGAGTGTACAGAGCAGTCTCACGTTTAGCAGTTTTACCGGCTGCAGTCATCTAACCCAGGTTCTGTTTCAGGATTGCATAAAAATAAATAAATAATTCCATCTTACACCAAAAGTTTTCTCTACAACTTCGGCTGTTCACGGCTCCGCCCCTGTGCTTGTCAACACATGCACGTTATCTGCAATGGCGAGTAGTGCGGGATGCTTTTGCTTGCGTCTTCTTACAACAGTGCAGTTGCACTCAGAGACCTGTGGGGGGCGCCAAAGTGCACCAAACCAAATTCCTACAGTACATATTGTTGCGATAAGAACTAACAAATATAAAGTTTCATCAAGGCTCAGTGTGAAAGAGCTGGACATTTAAGCCTTTAGCTAAAGTTAGTCGAACAAGAACAGAGTGCATTTGTTGGGGACTACTTTCAGCAGCGGAGTAATACATTTGATAAAATGTGAAAAAGACAGAACTTGTCAACCTTGCTAAAGACAAGGAATAAAAATCATGATCAAATCAATTAAGAAAATTGAGGACGAGGTGAAAACAAAAAGTGTGTTCAGCTTTCCTCCCTGCGCAGTAATCCTGTAGAACATCTTTAAAAACAGTTCACAGTGACACCTGATATAAGAGTGAAGCTGCTGCTCCACTGCTCAGCTTTGCTCTCAGGATCCTGACGAGGCCTCTGCTGCCCCCCTGTGGACAGAAACATGAACTACACCTTCATACAGATGTTTAGATCTCAGATGTGTGAGGGTTACATTTCTGCTCATGCAAAGAGTGCCAGGCTTAAAGAAATGTATTGAACATTGATTTTATACATTACAGTAACACTGCATTTGAGTTCTGTGTTTGATTCACTTTTATTTAGAGAAAAAACACTTTAAGCACAAAACACGATGAGGACGGGATGTAGAGGACATGACATCTTACCTTTCAATCATGTGTAAAAGTATCTTGAATCAACCTCCAGCTTCTTTCCTGACTTGTCTTTTTCTGTCTTTGATTTTATTGTTCTCGTGGTTATTCCCCCCCTCCCCTCCCCCTCTCGGCGTCCTCCTGCAGCCCTCCTGAAACTAAGGACTCCGCCATCGACTCCCCGGACGCCCAGCGCCAGGAGTGGTTCGCTCAATACTTTTCCTTTTGATTGACCACAAACCTGCAAAAAAACACAAAAAGGATTCAGCATGTCAACCAAACTTAAGAGAAAAAATAATAATAAAAAAAAAAAAACACTTACAAAAAAAAAAGAGAAAAATGTTAAAAAACTCTTTGTTCTTTCTTGTCGTTGAGAGGGGTTTGGGGATCAATTCACTTTGGGTCAGTCAGCCGGAAAAGGTCAAAGGTCATGGATTGAGCGTGACATGTCATTGATGTGTCGATGAGACACACAGAAACTCGATGTCATTCACTTTGTTTAAAAAAAAAGAAAAAAAAAGAAGTTGATCCACTTGGTGTTGTTGACTGAGGTGAAAGTGAATTGACCCCGATCCTGACGTCATCACTCTGATCTGATTTGATTGTTTGATTATCGATTGTTTCACTGTGATCTCTGCGTACAGTGACAATGATCATCGGTCTGTTTCGATGTTTCTTTTTTTTTTTTCTTTTTTTTTCTTCCTGACTTATTTTGCAGTTTCTTGGAACTAGAAATAAAACTGAGTGGTGCATTCTCATGCTGCTAATTGCCATTGTTGGACTCCAGTAAGAATCTATATATAAAGAAATATACGGTAGGTTATTGTGATCTCTCTCTCTCTCTCTCTCTCTCTCTCTCTCTCTCTCTCTCTCTCTCTCTCTCTCTCTCTCTCTGTTCGTGGGCCACACTGCATACAGCATCTTAGGCTATAGGAGCGCTGATCCAGGACCGGTCTGCCTCCTGGTTTCTGGTGATGTTTTACACACAGACCTGATCCCGGGTCAGTCTCACCTCTCCGCTGTGCTCCGTGACTACAGGCTCAGATTTTAGGACGGCACCATCATGGCGAGTTTGTTACAGCTGCGTAGAAGTCTCAGCAGATTTTGGTAGAATATTCAAACCTGTTTGTATGGTCGTCTGTCTCAACACAGATATAATGATGTCTCACCAATTTTAAAAACAAAAATAGCATATTTTATATTTATATTATAATGTGTATGCTTAATAAATAATTATTGTGACATTTACATCGGCCTGTTTGTCCTTTATTTGACTGATTTATTTCTGCTTTACATTTAATTTCATTGCAAAATGTTTAAGGTATTTTGATTTTATGGTTCAACAGATGTTAAGTTTCTACTAAAAATGAGAAGAAGAGAAGAAGTACAAACAGCATCAGATTCATGAGCAGGAGCAGTTTGAATTATTTACTCCCTTTTATACAACACAGAAACACTGCACTCTCATATTTATATTCTTTATAATCACAAATGCACAAAATCTCAGGGATACACCTTCAGGTGTGTCAGGCATTACTGCTTTATGTTAATGACTGAAACATTCATAAATAAACATTTATTAAGTTTGACAATCAAATAAGTCGTGTTGAAAAGGTGATTTGATGAGTGACATTATGTGTAAGCTTTTGTTTTGTATCTTGAGTAAATTCTTGGGTTGTTCAATTTAGTGCAACATTATTAAATAATTTTCCCTGTGAGATTCAGAGTAACCACAGGGGTCAAATATCTGAAGAAACATAAACAGTGCACTCATTAATGAAGTACAAGTTAAAGTTTTACATGAGAGAAATACTACAAATACAACAAATGATGACTAATTATTATTTTGTGTTATTTATTGTTTCATGAATAAGCATCTTTACTATATTTGTACATATGTTTTGGTTAACTCTGTTAATTGTGCTGCTGCCTGGCTCGGCTATGACATTCTTGAAAAAGAGATTTTTTTAAAATCTCAAAACGTTTTTCCTCCTGGTTAAATAAAGGTTCAAATAAAATACAATAAAAATAATGATTATGTATTAGAGAATATGCTGACATTACTACTGTGTGTTTTGTGAGATAAGATAATAGGCTAAAAAAAAGCATATATGACTTGAAAAAGGTGAAAACCACTAAATATATTATATAAAATATAACCTTCCTTAATTATTCAATAGTCTTACGTCATTTATACACCTTTGTTTATTTGTTTAAATTAAATATTTGCTGTTTTAATTTAAAGTACAGATTGTTCTTTTCTTCAGGTGCAACAAGTAGGTCGTCTGTATTTGTTACGGTGCAGTTCTTAAAGTCACCACCAGAGGTCGGTAACGTTCATAATGAACATTACCGCCTCCTCCTCCTGACCCGGAAAATAAACAAACTGAATCTGTTCCTGTTCGGGCTTGAAGATGGCTGCTACCGGAGCCGCGTCTCCCGGCCGCCTGGTCCAGTATGTGGTAGTCCGGTCGGACCTGGTCCACAAGCTGTCCTGGCCCCTGGGAGCTGTTATAACTCAGGCCTGTCACGCGGCCACTGCAGCCATTCACCTGCACTACGGCGACCCGGACACACAGCGGTACCTGGCGGAGCTGGACTCCATGCATAAAGTGGTGCTCGGGGTAAGCGCGGCACGTCACGCCAAACCCCGGCTAAATATTTACCATTTAAGCGCTGCCTTGTTTTTATACAATGTAGAGATATTTTAATGTTCATTAAAACTCACACAATGTCTTAATTAATACAGTTTTACAGTTCGGCATCATAAAATATAAAGATGTTCTTTGTTTTAATCTGTTTTCTCTCACTTTCCTTCTTAAGCTAATTTAGCTAATTTGAGTAAAACGTGCGTAAGATTAGTCGGCAAGCGACATAAAAGTCCTTGATTTTAACAAAACAAATAATATTTAATGTGTAGGCTGTATGCCGAATAATAAAGACACCTCTCAAGAATATGATCAGGATTTAAATTGTGTTTTAGCTGACATATCTTTTCTGCTAATCAATGAAATTACAAAAAGACGATGTTTCAAATGAGGTACGGTGGCCTTTCTATGTCATACTGTACATTAACATTATAGCAACTTATTATATATGGACTATATAATCACTTTTAAAATTAGTATTTGAGTGATATATTGAAATTTCCTCTTAGAAGGAATAAAAAAAAAACACATCTGTAATTCACTATAATGCAAATAGAAAAGTCATAAATTGGAAAATGCCTACTTTTGACTAGAAAGTCGTCATTCGACATATCTGAATTGGTCTTCTCCTTCAATAGTGTTGATATCTCTTGAGTGTGTGTGTTTTGTGTTTCTCCTCCAGGCTCCGGATGAGGCCGCTCTCTCCAGTCTCTCAGAGAATCTGTCCCAGGCCGGAGTCGCCCACAAGCTTTGGATCGAACAGCCTGAAAACATCCCGACCTGCCTCGCCCTGAAGCCGTGTCCCAAAGAGACAGTCCAGCCGCTGCTGCGCAAGTTCAAACTCTTCAAATGAGAGACTTTTTTCTCCGTCTATGAACTGAAGCGTACAGAGAGTCAAAGTGAGAGAGGCCTTTCAGTATCTATTTAAGTTAGAAGAACATCTGGAAGTTCGGCTCAGTGCATCCATACACCTGTATCTGTGAAATTAAAGTCAGACGATGTAAAGATGCCACCTCGTGCTTTTAACCTCATTTGCTCTGAGCAGACAGTAAATCACCCTTGTTTTATACAGTTTAAATAAAATAAATGTTATCTATCTTATCCCCTGCCTCAAGTTCCCACCATGGCAGCCCCGCCTGGAAACCACCTCTCACATCATCTTACGTTACAATGGATTGTACCACCTAATCCTAAAATTGAACTAAACTTAAGGATGGAAATATAACCTGCTCTGTTGTGTTTTTCTGTCCTGACTCATGATTAAAGTTTGTTCATGCTTGAATTATGTGAAGCCACAGTCAGGACTCCTCTGGGGTTTTGTTAAGTGTTTTGTCCAATTAGACACACGGCACCTGTGGATTTAAGTGTGTGTAAAGCACAAACATTTCACTTATAATAAGGATCTTGCCACAGCACTCTAAGGTGGGCTCACCAAACCTTGGGGTCTTAGGAATTCAAACGGGGTCGTCTGAAATGTGTATTTATTGACAGGAGCCCGACCGATTAATCAGCCAGCCGATGTAATCTCATTTTATGGCAGATATGTGCTGATATTACTCGATATATTCACCAGTTCAACAACATTTCATTTGAGTTTGTATTAAACTAGCAGTTCTTGTTTTTCACCAGCAGAGGGCGCTATATGGGTAACAACGAGCATCCTCACTCTCCAGAGTGAGACACGAACGTGCACAGTTACTCTCCAGTTGAGTGACCATGTTATAAATAAGAGTTTGATAACTGCATTTGAGGGATAAATGCAATAAAGAAATATATCTATATGTTTATATCTTTAAAGATCAAAGTAAGATATCAGCTGATTCATCCGTATCTGATTTTTTCTCTTCCTAATTTATGATATTGGTATCAGCCCAAAAACCCCACATCAGTCCGGCCCTGTTATTGATCAATAAAATGTATATGGTAAATTTAAATCTAGTGAACACAGGCTGCTGCTGTGGGCCGTCAGAATCAGAAATACTTCATTAATAAAGGGGGAAATCCAGTTGTTACTTCCAGAAGAAGGAAGTATAGAAATAATTCAAGAATGTAAAAAATAAAATGAAGGGGCGCGCTGGTGGCGCAGTGGTTAGGGCGCGCGTCCCTTGTGTTGAGGCTCTCGTCTCGAGCGGTAGGCCAGGGCTCACCTCCACCCGTGGCCCCCTTCTGCATGTCATTCCCCGTTCTCTCTCCCTGGTTTCCGACTCTATCCACTGTCCTCTCTCTGCATTAAAGGCACGAAAAGCCCAAAAAATAAAATGAAATAGAGATAATAAAATAATCAGAAGAGTCTTTGTTGTGCAGAGATGTTCCCCCGGGCCTCTCGTCCTCTGTCCACATTAATAAACAAGAAGCAGAAATATGCTCTAAAAGGAATGTTTACTTGCCACACAGTAGAAAAACGACTACGATGATTGAAGACAAATTCATTTTAAAACAAAGATGTATGTGTGTTTAAAGTCTGGGAACCACTGCTCTAAAGTAAGACTGAGAAGTGAGAATCTCAGGCAGAGATTCAAAATAATCTTTGATTGAAACAGATGTGTGTTGTGACCGTGTTCCTGTCATGGATACTCTGTTGTTGTTTTTTGTTTTTGTTGGTGCTTAAACTCCACCTTCCTTAGAAATGAAAACGTCCCCTCCAGAGAGAAGCCTCTTCTAGACAGTTATTATCTATTATATAAGAAATGTTCAACCTGGGCGAGGCCCCCTCTGACCTGCAGTGTGACCACAAACGGTTAATGCACCTGTTACCTCGGTGACTCCTCGTGTTGTAACACTCCGGGCTGGAAAAAAATAACTTCATTTTATTCCTGTTTAAATCTAAAATCTTTACAAAGTGCCCATGAAGTAATGATTAAGAAGAAGGATGGCCACTCCTCGCCCAGCAGATAATTATATTTGATTAAATCCATCTTTGTCGCTGACGTTTCCCAGAACTGCTCATCTGCTCGCTGCATATCATCCGGTGATTCGTGGTATTGTTGTGGTCTTCACTGTTCTGTGTAAACGGGTAAAAATATACGTGATCTAAACACAACGTATCCTTCAGAAGTCACTGTGTAATAGTCAAGTGTTTGTCAAAGTGGGGTTGTCAAAACAATCGACAATAACATTTAAATTTCTGTCTTTTTAGGAGGTTTTAATAAAAACATGGTGAGATCTATGTGTTCTTTTTCTATGCCAATCTTTCAATAACAAAACCCCACACAGTACTAGAGTAAATCTTGTGCTGCCTTCAAGTGCTTCTCTGAAACGCCGTAATTCCCAGTTGTGAAGTCCTAGTTATATTAGTTTCCAGTTATTGTTTTGCAGAGTTTTTTTCAACCTTTCTAAGAGAGACAGGACAGTGGATAGAACCAGAAGTTGAGGAGAGAGAGAGTGGCCGATGAACGTGCAGGAAAGGAGCTAGAGGTCGGATTTGAACCCGGACCACCTGCTTCGAGGACAACAGCCTTTATGGATGCGGTGTACGACTTTACCACTAGTCCACCGGCGCCACTTCCAATTTCGATCTTGGGATCTTGATCAGTTTTCCCATGATCATTCGTTATAACCTCATGATCTTGAGATAACGAAGCTTGTTTCCTCAACTGGATTTTTTTTTCTGGCGATCTTAAAAAAAAAAAAACAACAACAGGCTGCTCACTGTGATAGGCCCGACCACGACCTGCCATGTGACCATTGCTCACGCTGAGGAAAATTAACCCTTTTTCAGCATTCGTTTTCTGCTTTTTCAGCTCTGGGGTTACGAGAAAAACAAGCGCAGACTATGAGGAAACTCCTGGAAATATCTCGTTATCATGGATCAAGTGTATTGATGATTGTCCACTTAGGGCTTCCATAATAAATAAGAATATTAATGATGTTTGTTAGAATGCAGGTCATACCTGGGTGCAGTTTTGTCAGATGGCGACACAGTTCATTCACGTTCCTCTGTCTTTACTGTGTGAAGGCTGACGGGTCATGGAGAGAAAACTGTCCTTTAAAGAAAATCCTCTTTTAGAGTTTTTTTTTACACTGATGATTAAAATATTACTTCACAGACATTAAGGTTTATTTAACCTCGACTTTAGTTGTTTTTGGAGCCTGTTGCCTGACTGGCAGGTATCCGAGCGGTGACATGTAACGACGTCTGGGACTTGGGCCAAACTGAGCGCACAGAGGCAGAAAATGAAGTGTGGTTTATTTTCACAATATAAATGAACCTGCTGTCTTTCACACACTAACCTACATGTTTCTAATGACTCATCGACAACTTCCACTGCCCTTTTCAGGCATGCCGTAAAGTTTAGCTCGACAACAACTATTATATTGGGAAAAAGAAAAACAAATAAAAACAAACCTCATCGACCGAGCAGCGTCCAGGAGTCATAGCCTTGAACTTTAAACAATGAACATATTACACCAGAGGTATTTACTTCTTACCTGTATTTCATCACACTGTATTTAAATGATGTCATGCTTCACAGGCAGCAGAAAGGTCCTGTTTACACTTTGCTTCAACATCCATCCTGGTTAATCAGATAACAAGTGGACAGCACTGAAGAGCGGGCGTTTACACTTGTGTATGGAGGCTGTAGTCCTCCAAGTGGGCGGCACAGGTTCAAATCCAGCCTGTGGCTCCTTCCCCGCATGTCATTCCCTACTCTCTCTCTCTCTCTCTCCCTGATTTCTCAAAAATAAATCTTTAAAAACAAAACCACGTGTGTCACCTTTAAACTCTTGGATTTGGATCTCACTCGCCCGCCTAAAGCCTGATTTATACTTCTGCGCCGATTCTATACTGTAGCTTATGTCGAGGGTTCTTGTAGCCCTGTACCCGTGCAGACGCCTGCGTCCGATATCTGACGTTAACCTCCTTTAAAAATGTAACAATGCATCGAAACTACACAGACTGCAAGCCCTGTGATTGGTCCGCTGAGTAGCATCGTATTTCCACCGTTTAGCCGACAGCATTTCGGGTATATCGCTGCCATATTCAAAATTCTGCTGAAGGGAAAACGCTTTGGAATGATATTTATCAACTCCAAATCCAATATTAAACGCTCGGTTTCGGACACGCCATTGTTTCCTGAACACAAACAGGCAGAGAAAGCGGCGAAACTTGCGACATAAGAAGCATAGAAATGTCATGACCAACTAGCGTTTTTAAAGATGCATTGTTTGAGCTTTTCCCCTTTATTTGACAGGACAGTGGATAGAGTAGAGAAGACTTGAACCCTGGGCCGCCCGCCCAGGACCTACATCGGGTGCGACCTAACCGCTGGGCCATCTGCGCCCCACCAACTAGCGTTTTAAGGAGTATGCAGATACGCACAAACGCACAATAGTGCTCACAACAGCGTAACTACAACGTGGATTCAACACAAAAGTAAAAACCAGCTTAACATCCATCCATCCATTTTCTTCCTCTTATCCGAGGTCGCGGTGGCAGCAGGCGCAGTAAGGTCAACCCAGACTTCCCTCTCCCCAGCAACACTTTCCAGCTCCTCCCAGGCTAACCATTAACATGCAGATAAATCACAAAGTGCATCGTTCTCCCAGTTGAGGAGTTGGTCCCTGATGCCGCCCAGGATGCATGAAGCGTCTCCACTACCAAACCATGAACGCAACCCAGCAGAGCTGTCGGATCTCAGTCCATCCTCAGGCTGTGTCTGGGTTTGTTCACACCTTGCATTAAAGGCTATCCACTTGTGATCCGGTCGCCATGGATGAGTGTTAATGCAAGGGAGTAAAATGTCCTATAAGTGCACAAGAGTGAGCGTGAACAGCAGAGGAAAGTGTTGTTTACAGAGTCTATACTCTCACAGAGCAAAGTCCACATGAGGCTCCAAAACATCCTTTCACATCAGGTGAAGCTGCTGGTCTGTGTTTTAAGTTTGTTGACATGGTTCAAATGGCTGTTTATGTGTTGGAAAAATGTCGCTTTAAAAAGAAAAAAAAAATCAAAAACACCTGATTGTGAAGTTCCTCTCTGCAGACATAGATATTGTTTTCCTCAGGAGTCGTTTCAAACAAACATGGAGTAAGAGTAAATATTTAACTCTCTTTGTTTAGATGTCAAAAACACTTAAAAATAATTGAGTTTCATATCAGCTGAATTTGTCCAGACAATAACCTGATTTGTAAACGTGTAATCATTCAGACATGTGGCATCAACAGTTTGCTTCTGCGGCTCCTCAGAAATATATTTTTTACGAGTTATGAGCACATGAGTGACCCTTCAAAGACGTAATGATGAGTGGGAAATTGGAAAATATCGATGATATCCAAAGTTGCCAAGTTGATACTTCT